GCTTTAAATTATTCGATTAATTTAGCATAATTCTATTCTTAAACACGTTTATAACAAAGTTACGTTAAAAAATTTTATGTTCTAGTATTAAAATTTTTTTACCTACAGCGAAGACATCTTTCTTTGAATCGTTCGCAATACGAGCAGAATTTTTGTAAAGAGTCAACTTGAAATTTAAATATTAACGTTAAAAATATTTCGACGTAACTTTGTTATAAACATGTTTAAGAATAGAATTATGCTAAAATAATCGGAAAAAGTAAATCGATTCGCTCTAGACATCTAAAAACATTCAAGTCATCTTTACTATTAAAGCATATAGAAAAAGTGATAAATAATCTGATCACTATCCTGATCACTAAATTCAAAAAAAAATCCTTAATAATTAATTTTTATATGGTACTGCATATAGTTTTGTCACTGAGTTGACCGAATACCCCAATGACTAACCCACTTACCAAAGTCAGATGATATATGCTGTGTAATACGTGACGATACATTTAGTGATTGACCAATCAAAATTAAAGCCCGTTATGCTCTAATATTATTGGTTAACTGTATAATCACATGATTTATTTGTATTAATTTTTTAAATTGGTCGAAATTTTTACTACACCTTTCTTATATTAGATTCACTTGTATATGCTTAATAAGCTTTAGAACAAAAAAAATTTTACAAAACTTCTTATATCGAGAGTTTATTAATAACTTTCTTATATCGAGTGGATTTATTATAAATGGTTTTGGTTTGACTTTCTTATATCGAGAGTTTAATTAGTCTTTCATATCGAAGGTTTCTTATATCGAGTCACTTGTAATTAGTCTATACTATTGTGGTAAATTTATAATTCAAAATCGAATGCTTTATTGTATATGCGCGAAATAACGCCTCGGTGCATTTCATTTAACCGAAAATTTTAAAAAGAATGGTTCGCGTCAGGTCAAAATAAAATTGCATGTCTTAAAATAACGTCCCAGAACGTTATTTCGCGCAAGTGAGTACCCAATGAAGAATATTATCCCGTTAATGTTATATCTTTACGTTACACACCTGATCTTAAAATTTTACTGGATGTATGCTGAACTTTGGTTGCGCCATTATTAGTATATTCAAATTTCAAATCTGCATTTTTATTGGCTAACATACATTTGTTCCAGTGAAAAGAGAATTTTTCACTGTAACCACTAGAACACTGGAAAAATCTGGACATCCAGTGGAGTTCCAGCTTCCAGTCAACAACACTGGTTTACAACAAAAGTTTTCACACCCATAAAAAGAAACAAGGACAATAGTAACACAAAGAAAGCTCAAACAAAAGGACAATAGTAACACTGATTGCCTTATAGATGAGTTTTCACCTGCAGAACTCCAATTAGATTATTCGTCACAGCAATCGTCCACCCAACCAACCTTCGTCACTCTTTCCACAGCCTCCCGCAAGCCGCAAATTATCTACGATTGAGGAAAAAACAGAGCTAGTAACTACAATCAAAGAATCAAAATTGGCAAGTCGACTATTTCGTCCCACGTCGACTTTGAGCAAAAGCTCATCGTCTGATGGGTCAAATGAATTGGACATTAAAGATTTGGCGGCTTCGGAAGAGGAAAAGATTGACCAGGAGGACAGTTTTGTGACAAAACAAAATCGTCGTGTATATAATAGTATAGACGCATTTTCTAGAATTCTTGAAGAACGAGATATCAATGTGTTAGCCACAGAAAAGAATGGGGAAGGTGATGGGAACAGTGAAAACAAAGATATTTCAAATAATTCTACATGCAGAACTAATATCAACCTATCCATACCCACCATTTTTACTTCAGAACATTCTCCAACCGACATTTCATCAATTTTGCTTCCATCCATATCAGACTTAGATTCAGTCCATTCAGATAAATCAATATTAAGTGATACATATAGTGCTATCAAAGATGACCATTCAGACGTATCGGTATCTTTATATCCATCTCCAGTGCCTATTTCTAATGTCACACCATTAAGAAACTTCAAAGATGGAAGAATTAGTATAAGAGAAGAAAGATAT